CTCATCACTAAGGTTTCTATCTCTCTGTCCCTCACCCTTTCTCTCTGAAATCAATAAAAATATTTTTTTAAAAGTTTAAATGAATGAATTTTAGTTGTATGGCCTTGGTGTTCCCAAGAAAACACTAAGTACTATATCAATAAGTGACACTCATAAGTAATAAACAAAGAGCCTGCAAGAGAAGATTACTAAAAGATTTATAGATACAAAATGCATTAAAAGTGGTCCAAAAGTTAATATGAAGTATACTTGCAATAATGGACAAAGTCTCACCAAGATGTTTTATTTGGCAGCAATATTTATGAGACTCTACACAAAGTGAGCTAAGAAACTGGAGACCACAAGTAACATTTCTCTACAATAAAAATACTCTTCATTTTAACTCCTCAATATAGGCAATGAAAATTAATAAAGACGAGTTGTTAAACAATGAGGAAAAATGAAAAGACTTGGGGTTAATGAACCTGTACAAAACAAAATTAAAGCTCTAGTATTTATAAAAGTATTAAAAAATCAGTCCTTTCCAAAAAAATGAGAAGCACCTAATAATAAATCCAATAAAGACATTTAATCTGACCATGAACCACATTTAAAAAAATTTTTGATTAAAATTTAAGGTGAGTAACTGCATTTAAATGCTAATAAAAATTAAAATAAGTTTTGGTAGATAACTTAATTTTTTATTAAAAATAAGCATACAGTAATTCTAACATAGCTATGATATGGTACAAGCCCTAAGAACTTACTTTCACACAAACAACATCTATATAAATATGTTATACAGTCCTGACTGGTTTGGCTCAGTGGATAGAGCGTCAGCCTGTGGACTAAAGGGTCCCAGGTTCGATTCCAGTCAAGGGCATGTACCTTGGTTGCAGGCATATCCCCAATAGGGGGTGTGCAGGAGGCAGCTGATCGATGTTTCTCTCTCTCATCGATGTTTCTAACTATCCCTCTCCCTTCCTCTCTGTAAAAAATCAATAAAATATATATTTTTTTTAAAATGTTATACATATAATACCAGTTGATAAGAAACCTTGAGGCAAAACTTTAGTAGTTACATTTTACAGAATAACACAAAAAAATAACGTTTTTATTTAATAGCTCAACTGGGCTCAGAGATTAAATCACATTTCTACATTAATTAATAAAAGATCTAAAGAAAACTAACCAAAATTAAGTATCATCTTTGAAACATTATTTTCATGAAATGTTGGGGTGGTGGGAGGGGAAAACATAGGGGCAAACTATATGCAGTAGAAGTATTTCTCTTCTACAAATAAATACTGCCCAAGCATTTTTTATGACAAGGAAATTCTTATAAAATATCATAGGAATAAGGAGCACTAAGTCACATGTAATCTTTACTTCCCACAATGTGAATTAAGAGAGTTAATAAAAACCAACTCCAAAAGACAAAAATGCCAATATATAGCAACCTAAGAGTATAGAAATTAGTGTAATGGTTTCACCTGAGGGACTTGACTAGAAACTGGCACAAAGGAACTTTCTAGGGTGATGGACATGCTCTGTATATCTTCAATGGGCTGTAGGTGACACAGTCCTGACATTTGCCAAAACATATAAAACTCACTTATATCTGTAAATTGTTCTATTACTACACCTCAATTTTTAAAAACAAAATGCCATGGTATAAATAGAGTTAGATTTTATGAAATATTATCTCCACCACAGGAAATATGATATGCTTAAATCTAAATAAGGAACAACCTCAATAGACAACTGATATGATTATCTAACTATTCATCTCAAAATGCCTTCACATCCAATACTACTAAAAATAAATTATTTTTCACAAATATTCATTTACACTCAATAATATCACACAATGAATCTATTTATTTACTCAGTACTACATTTAGCAACCAATTCATCACAAAAGATTCATTAGAAAGCTAAACTGCTCAAGATTGGAAAGATATTCAAGGCAGCAATACTGAGGGTTTTATACATAATAAACAAATGGACTAATACTACTAATAACTGACAAGTTAACATTATTGAGTGTTTAAAATATGCCAGGTTCTATTCTAAATGCCTTACCAATATTAATTTGATCCTCACAGCAACCGACAGAAGTAGGCACTATTACTATTCCCATTTCACAAATGAAGAAACAGACACATGAAGTATCTACCTCTAACTACACAGGTCTAACTCTGGCAGTCTAGGAAAAACTTTCTTAATCACTTTGTTCTACTGTCTTTTTAGAATCAGTTGCCTTGAAATTTTCTAGGCTAAAATAAAGATTGTGCTCTATGGTACAGAACCTTGGGGGCATCTATACTGCACAGAAGTTCCAGGATAATTTTTAAGGAACAACTTGGGCTTTGCTTACAAAGAATACTGGATACCTATCTGTGTGATTAGACTTCTCTATTCTTTTCATTTTTCTTTTTTTAAGTAAAACTTATTGTCTACTAATGTGATTTTTTTTTTTTAAATAAGTACATCCTAACCACATTTCTCATCAAAGAACACCTGGAAGAGGAGCTCTGTGGTATATGGAGCCATGCAGAGCATTCTCTGGTGACAAGTACTAACCAAAATCTTACATTCCAAAATAATAATTATTTCAGGAAGTTGACAGTTGGAACCATATGACTAGTGTTCAAATACAATTTCAAAGACTGTATATTACTTAATAATTGTTTTCAAAATCCCTACATTTTTAATAATACAGTAGTATCTTGTGGTATACCTGTAACCTATTCCACGGAAAATCAGTAAACTGCAGCCCTATGACTGGGAAGTTCTGCTCTAAGCTATATGGAAAGAACAGCTATTCAACTCCTTTCAACACTCTAGTTGAGAAAAATATTATTTCTGGAGAACTGAATTGTCCAGGGATTTCATGTTTTGTCCTTGGTTTGGAATAAACCATTAAAAAGACAATAAATACACTCGGGTTTTGAATGCTTTTTACTTCCATAACTCATTATAAACACCAAGTTACATTTTCAAGCTATACTTCACATTTTCTTAAAGACAACTTTAAGAAACAATGTAATGAAATCTGTTATCACAATTACTACAGAAATATTAAAAAGAACATTAACTTGCCCTGGCAAGTATTACTCAATGGTTAGAATATCAGCCTGAGCACCAAAGGGTCACAGGCTCAATTCCTGGTACCTGGGTTGCAGGTTCGATGCCTGGCCCAGTGGGGGCATGTGTGGGAGGCAACCAATCGATCTCTCTCTCCCTCTCCCACCCCCGTTCTACTCTTTAAAACACCAATGGAAAAATATCCTCAGGTGAGGATTAACAAAAAAAGAACATTAACTTATGTGAAATGTTCATAAAGCTCTGCTTCCTTGATATAACAGGTCAATTTTCTCCTCAAGGATCTTGAAAATATATAAAGTATAATATTTTATTTTATGCCCTAGCTAGTAAAAAGCTCAAAACTTTATTTAAAACGGAACTAAATAAATTATGCTTGCCTTTATAGCCTGATGATCTCTACTCTTTTTTTTTTCCGTTGAGTACTTTTAAGATTAATTTTTTTTCATATTTAATTCTTTGCTACCTCTAGAATCTACTCTGGTATAAATATGTCTTCAATATAGAAGTTTTACTTTCTTTAACCAAATTACCATCTTTTTAAAAATAACCCACTCCCCAGAGTATTCTATTCTTTCTACTCTTATCACCCCATTCCTGCCAATTTTTGTGTTATTTTTGGTCTTTTTTCTGATGGGAGGACTGTATATCACTAAGGTTCAACTACATATATTTGTGTATTTAGTCTTCATACTAACTTAAAGTACTTTGAAAAGGGTATAAGAAAAAGTACTATAATTTCACTGTGAATTATAAAATAAAACCAGTAGAAATCATCGTTTTTACACCAGCAATCAACCTTATGGATTAGAAATTATGATTTTGAGAATTTAAGACTGTCATACTGGAAAAATGGCAAACCCTTAAAATTATGAACTTATCTCTAACAAAGCTAAACCATTCAAAACAAGTCCAGATCAGTAATTAGAACATCTGCTAAGTGGGCTGCCTTCTAACTATTAGGCCCTGTGAAAATCAAGAACACCTCTCTACAGAAGGGAAATACTCAAAGTTAGTTTTTATGCTAGAGGTGGTTTGTTCTTTATCTTTACACAGGCTCCCTCTACTGACAGGAAAACAAAACAGACTATGGAATTATGAGGGCAAATTTCATCAACACAAGGAAAAGGAATTCATTTTTTAAATACCTCCAAATCAACATTTTAGATAAAAATAGATTATATAAACTGGCTTTACTACAGTCCTAGAAGAAAAAAACACTGCCAATGACAATTGAAATAACATATTTTAAATGTGGCACGTACTATTTCAACCCACTACATTTCAATCTATTTTTTTAAATCCTCACCCAAGGTGTGAGGATATTTTTTCCATCGATTTTTTAGAAAGAGTGGAAGAGGGGGGAGGGGCAGGGGAAGGGGGGGAGGGAAGAGAGAAAAAAAATCGATGTGAGAAAGACACATCGATTGATCAATTGGCTGCCTCCCACGTGTGCCTTGGGGGTGGGAGGATATCAGACCTGCAACCCAGGCATGGGACCTTCACCTGGAATCGAACCCATGACCCTAGAGTGTGCAGGTCAACACACTACCATTGAGCCACAACAACCAGGGCCATCCTATGTAATAAAAGGCTAATATGCAAATTGTCCCCTCGACCAGGAGTTTGGCCGGGAGTTCAACCAGGAGTTTGACCAGGGGACCGGGTGGCCAGCCAACCGCCTGTGGCCCCTCCCCCCGCTGGCCCCCCTCCCAATCAGCCCCCCCCCCCCAATTGGGGGTGGGGCCAGCCGGCCAACCACCCACGGCCCTTCCCCCCGGCCGGCCCCCACCTGTGCACCAATTCTTGCACCAGGCCTTTAGTTTCAATATAAATCCTTAAATGCAAGAAGGATTAAAGATTTTAAATTCACTTTAAATATTTTTAATAATTTATCATAAGAAAATGTTTACCTGTATCTGTTCTGGTGTCCATTGGTCTAGGTTGACTGACTTGACCCTGGATATATGAACCCCAAGATTTCTATGTATCCCAGCACATCTGATGCAAATAAACACACCAATATTCCAGGAAGCCCATCGGGGACCTAATTAGGGAGAAGAAACAAAGAAAAATAAATATCATGACAGCACATAAACATCATTCTGTGTTTTTTAATACAATTATAATGAAGGCTTACAGAATTTACATGCTCAAATTTTCAAATGACACCAGCAGCAGATTGATAAGAAGACATGTGTCATGGCTGTACTGAAAGGTTACAAATCAACCTTCAAGAACCTTAATGGGTTTACTAATTTTGCTTTACTAGAAACTTTCCACCAAATCTAATCAATTCATGTGGACAGTTTTTCATTCCATATATTTGAACCAGGAGTAGTAACATCCCACAGTAAAAAGTAAGTTCTTAAAAGATTACTAACAAATAAAAATCAAAGAGATTTTTAAAAATAAACCTAAGAAATTAGTAAGAATAACCAACCTAATAAAAAAAAATGGACAGAAAGATATGAATGGGTAATTTACAGAATATATTTAATCTATTAATATTAAGTGTTGGCAAGTGTGAGAAACAAGGACTGGCTCCAGAAACCTTATATCAGATGAATCTCCAATATGACCCTGAGATTTAAAAACTTAACAGATGAAGTAAGGTGTGCTATAAAATGTTAGTTCTTTAGATCATGTTCAAAAAATTCTGGAAAACACAGTAGAGAAACTCACATAAGTATACAAGAATAGAAGCTTTACTATTCTTCATACCTTTGAATGTTTTTTCTTACTAAGTTTAAATGTTCTTATGACTATTTTTACATATTCCCTGTATAACAAAGTAAAAATGGAAAAATAAAAATATCTGGAAATTGTGTCAAATAGTCAGAGGCTTATAATAACAGATTTATAGGAATCATCCTATAAAATAAAGAGCTAATATCCTATATAATAAAGAGCTAATATGCTAATTAGACCGAACAGCAGAACAACCATTGGATGACCTTCCGGATGAAGCCGGAGCTGTGAGAGCCGGCCGAGGCAGCCAGGGCTGCCTTGCACAAATTTTGTGCATCGGACCTCTAGTTTGACTATAAAAACATATACAGTAAGAGATATGGATTAAAAAATCAAGCTTTTAAAAAAAATTTAGACTTCTGTTTTAAGCACATACTTTTTATATTAAGGTCAGAGTCAATCTAAAAAATGAGATTAAAACTAGTAATTATGATGCAGTAAAACTAAATATACTCTCCCAAATTCCTTAGGCGATAGGTTATGCATATACAATTTATGCTAAAATATCCTACTTTTAAATTTAGAAATGACACCTAAAAAGTGACAAACATCTGGGACATGCTCTATTTAAATATTTGTTTCATTGCTAATAGTGTCAAAATAAATTCGAGGCCAAAAGACTTTGTGCTGTCAACCTACTCTGCCACCTTTGAGCTATATAAATTATGCTGGGCAGGGAACACACTGAGAACAAGGTTCTCACCTATAAACAGTTAGGATTGGCTGCCCTCAAAAACTTAGATGAGACTTGTGTGAAAAATATGTTGAACATTTTAAAGCACAACTTACATATAAGTTAGTATCATATTAAGAAATTTGGAAAATCAAAATACAATACTTTTTCTACTCTAGAGAAGTTTCTATATTGATCTGTAAAACAAGTATATCTTAATTTTCCTCAAAAACAATTCCCAAAAAGGCAATGAATCAAGAATGGGAAAACAAAAGATTTTCAAGGCATTTCAAGTGTGGCTTCATTTTTATTCATAAAATAGAATGAACTCCCTCAGAATATCTGCTAAGGGAGCAGAGCAAAATACGAATGGAGACTTTTCTCTAGAGCAGTTTTCCTGATGTAATAATTGAATTAAGCAGAAAGCATCATTTGCATAATGTCAGGACTATCAATGCAGGTAAAAAGCTTAGCACACAATACATTGGTGCATTTTTACAATAACCAAAGGTTATATAGGGATAAAAATGTATAAAGAACATGTACAACAATAATGCTAGCAGTAACAAAAAAAATGGGACATTACTATTGAGCAAAAACTAAATATAATTGAACTAGTGCTCTGGTGCATGGATTTGTGCACATTGAAAGGAAATTAATTAGAAGGTGGCCAGCAGAGCAGGGAGGGACTGGGCGAGATGGGCCAGACACGCCCTGGAGCCAACCTCCCTCGGTCCCTCCCCGGCAGACCGCACTTGGGGCAGCCCTGCAGCTTGAAGGGTGTCTGCAGAGTGAGAGGGGCGACTGGAAGGGCGTCTGTAGAGTGAGAGGGGTCCCTCCGGCAAGTGGGGTCCCTCCGCCTGGCCTGCGGGGATCGAGCCCGAAACCGGCTCTCCAACATCCCCCGAGGGGTCCCGGATTTCGAGAGGGTGGTTCTCGAGTGACGCACCCTGGAATCGGGCTCCCTCCTCTCTGGTTTCAGTGTGCGTCACCCGAGAACCGCCACTGGCAAGTCACCGCAGTTCAGCTTCTCCTGCATTGAGTGTCTGCCCCCAGGTGGTCACTGCATGTCATAGCTGCCAGTCAGACGGTTACTTAGACTTTTATATACATAGATGTTAGGTGATGTTTTAAGTTTTAAACAATTGAAGGATATAAAAACCATTTCATTAGCTGCTAAAAGGAAAAAAAATTGCTATCACTTATAGAAGACTTTAGTCCTAATCACTTTTGACCAAATTAAATAATAATGTAATTTTGTCAATGCCTCTTTCTTTGGAATATAGCTATCATATCTTAGGAACCCCTAAAAATAACTTTTTAAAAGCCTAACTGAAATTACAAATGTATTATCCACTCTAAAAAATTAGTCTCATAAATTTACCTAAAATTGCCCTGATAACAGCTGCTCAACAAGGTAGTCAGTTAGTAATTATTGGCATGAAATCCTAATTTTCATTCACCAAACTATTCAATGAGTACTCATCTACTCTGTGACAAGTAAATGCTGTTAAAAGACCATAAACATAAAGTTTCCAACTCAAAAGGCCAAGCCAAATACAAATAGGTATAATCTCTTAAAAAACAACTTGGTGAAACCTAGTCAAATTTTAGGTGAAAAACCCTACCACGAGTCCATCTATTCTCTCTTTCTTCCCTCCCTCCCTCTCATTTCCCCTCCTTGTCTGTCTGTCTCTCTGTCTGTCTCTCTCTCTCTCTCTCTCTCTCTCTCTCTCTCAGGTTTATCAACTTATATGTAATATGACACACCTTTGTGCCCTCTACATACAATAGTGCAAATGATGGGGGAGCATAGAAGAAGAAAATATGAATGTTGGCAAGGGATATTAATGCAAGCATTGTAGAGATAGTGGCATCTGAAGTGATTACTGCAAGATAAGTCCAGTTATAACAGGTAAAACCTGGATAAGGTATAAGGACAAGGTACATTCTAAGTAAAATGTACAGTGCCCCTCCCACCCTGAGTAGTTTCAAATATACTATAGAGCAGTGATTCCCAAAGTGGGCGCTACCACCCCCAGGTGGGCGCTGCAGCGATCCAGGGAGGCGGTGATGGCCACAGGTGCATTTGGGGGCGATGAGTAACTGCTATTAAAATTTTTAAAAAATTAATTTCCAGGGGCTGAGTAGTATTTTTTCTGGAAAGGGGGCGGTAGGCCAAATAAGTTTGGGAACCACTGCTATAGAGTGTCTAAAAAAATGTATACGCACTTTGACAATTATTCATTCTAATGGGTCCTGAAAAGAAAGAAACATCAATTGAGCTTTAAGAAAAAAGTATGCATACATTTTTTTGGGACACCCTGTATAATGCTATAGCCAGAAACTACATCATTGCAGCACCTGGTTACTGCTAGGTTTCTCTTATTTAAATATTGATTTGATATTTTTCCAAGTGTGATATATATGCACCTAAAATCAGTACCAAATGACTAATAACTTCCAAATAGAGATAAAAGGTAGTTTCAAGCTACAAAAGCGCTGTAGAAAGTGGAAAATGAGGTTTACTGAAGGATGAATCATCTACTAGTATATGATAAAAGCCCAGTGACCATTACAGCAGAATGAACAAAACAACCGATCACTATGACACGCACTGACCACCAGGGTGAAGACGCTCAACACAGGAGCTGCCCCCTAGTGGTCAGTGTGCTCCCACAGCTGGAGCACCACTCAGCCAGAAGCCAGGCTCATGGATGGTGAGCACAGCGGCAGTGGCAGTGGCGGGAGCCCTAAGGAGCGGCAAGCCAAGTGGTAAGGAGCGAGCAGACGGACAGTTAGGAGCGAGGGGTCCAGGACTACAAGAGGGTGCAGGCCAGGCTGAGCCCCCCCCCACCCCCCGCCGCCCCCACACAAATTTCGTGCACTCGGGGGGGAGGGGGAGGCCCAATGCACAAAACTCATGCACTGGGGGGGGGGATAATTGTTGAGGTTAATAATAAGGATTTAAAAATACAAGTAATTGTCATCTCTCCAGAATTACCAATCCTTCCCAAATTATCATAAATTCACTTTATCTCTTTCCTAATAATACACAAGGTTAGAGGCAGTAAAACTAGATTTGATTTGGTTTGGTTTTATTTGTTGGAGAAAGAAATAGCAAAAGATAGAGAATTTTGTTCAAGGGGGAACAGAGGAGAAGAGGAGGACAAAATTAACTGGGATGTAAAGGGTAATTCAAAAAGCAGCATCACAGGGTGCCCAGAGGGTGTACACACCAAAGCAATAAAAGGATCTGAAAGAGAAGCTACCTGCATCAAAATATTGTCCAGGATCAAGCATGAAACCAGAAGACACTCTTTCTATTTTGTTACCACAAGGCCCTTTTGTTCTTTACCCAAAAGTGACTAGCCTTTCATTGTTCACAGTCAGCTATGTTATGGATTAGGTACACTTGTGAAGGACCAAGAGAAGCAAGCAACAACCCATGAAAATATGTTTTCCAAACTGTAAATTTAACTATAAATTTGCAAAAGAACCTGTACTATGTGATGGGGGTAGAAGAGGGAGGGATTACTGCAAATAAGCATGAGAAATCTTTGTGTAATAATGGAAATGTTCTAAAATTCTACATGGTGATAGTTTCAAAATTCTGTTAATACATTAAAATCACTGAAATTATACACTTAAAATAAGTAAATTTTCGAGTATATAAATTATACCTCAATAAGGCTGTTTTTTAAACACTTGTATATATTTCTTTAAATGTAGGCATGAAATATCATTGCTTTTTCCTTCCTTTACCAGAAATGGAAAAATGGCAAGCAGAACTAGTAGTTGAAGCTGAGAAGACACTAGCAAATGATCTCAAGATGTGGAGGACTTGAGATAAAGAGAAATATCAGGCATGAAGCCATGGTATCTGACACAGAGTAAGCTCTTGATAAGTATTAATCTACACTAATAAAAGAGAAACATGGTAATTAGCGTACGACCGCTACCCTTCCCATTGGCTAATCAGGGAGATATGCAAATTAACTGTCAGCCAAGATGGCGGCCAGCAGCCAGGCAGCTGATGCGAACAGGGAGGCTTGCTTCCTTCAGTGACAGAGGACTCCAACCTTCCCCGCCTGCCTTGCCAGCCTCTGAGCTTCAGTTGGAAACATTGTAACATTTATAGAAGATAAACAAAACCCCAGAAACCTCCTGTCAGTCAGCCGGGATCTCAGAGCTGGAGTCGCAACATTGTTTCGAATACAGAAAACAAAGGCCAGAAACCTGCTTTCAGCAGCCGAGCCTCAGAGAGAAAGCCAGCTCTCAGCTCCAGTGACAGGCATAGAAGGTAAATAAATGCCAGAATAAAAAAAAAAAGAAAAAAAGGAGAGGTTTGGAGCTTCAGTCGCCCGCCAGCCTGAAAACGGCCCTCAGCCCCTCACCCAGACTGGCCAGGCACCCCAGTGGGGACCCCCACCCTGAAGCAACAAGATGGCGGCTAATTTGCATACTGAAGGCAGGCGGCAGCAGGCAAGGCTGTCTGCGGTCTGGGACCCGGATCTGTGACCCTGCCAGGCGGGGGGCACCGCGGGAGGCTGTCCGCAGTCCAGGACCCGGATCTGTG